AAAAATTCATAAATTATTTACAAAAGTTGCAAGCAGCAATTATAGTATATAAATATATATATATGTATGTGTGTATCGGTAATGCTGTTTGGTAAGCGTGGCGAAAATCAGCAAATCAGCACCATTGTTATAAAGCACTATTATACTCTATTTGTGAGAGAAAGAGAGATATAGAAATAGAGATAGAAATAGAGAGGAGAGAGAGAGAGAGAGAGAGAGAGAGAGAGAGAGAATGCATGTTTCAGGCTTGCGCGTCTCGTTGCAGCTTGCAGCATTATCAACAATTATTTCAATTGTCGAACACAATGATGGCCAAAGAGAGACCGGTGTAATATTTAAGATAAAATCTCTTGAAAACTTCTCGAATTTCTCAAACGTGAAAGTAATTAAGTAATAAAAAAATCTCTCGAATACCTTAGCCGATGTAACAGTATTAGCTACCGCAGCATCAAGATCGAGGATGAACAACAATAAGAATACTGCAGTGGCTCGTATCGTCGGGAACACCATCGTGTTTTCTCCAGTATTCTGAATGCGTTTCTTAGAAAACGATGAAAGAACGGAGGAACTTGTCTGGAAAACACGCCCGCGCGCAACACTTTACACACATACACTCGCTACATTCCCATGTTCCCAGCATACAACGCATTCCTGTTTATCTGTCTTTTTATTCGACCGGCGGTATATTCCACGAGACTCATTAGTTTTCCGATCGATGATCTTCCGAGTTTTTTATCGAAAAAATTTCAGAACGCGAAAAAAAGGACACGATTGAAATAATAAGGTTTCTTTTAAGAGAAGGTGTAAAACATGCTACGACCTACAGCGACCATGCAACCGTAGCGAATGCCGCGGAACAACTGGCACTGCTTCTTGCCAGTTGCCACTTGTCAGGCCGCGCGCTGGAGCAACCGAGCAACCGAGCAACCTCTGCATGCCTCTGCCATGCAACAGCCTTAGAATTATTCCGGCACTCTGCTACTGCGTTGCTCTTCTAACTAACACTTCCGCACTTTCAATACTTCAACCTGCAGGCTCCGATCCCAGGTATCCTCGATCTTTATCGGGATTATCGGGAATAAGGATGCACAGGTATACACACACACATATATATAGTATATATATACTCCCCACGCACTCATAGTGTAATCTAGAAACCAAACAACTCAAATTATTTAGCTCTTTAATGTATGATTAGTATTTTTGATAATTCGTTTTATGTGAAATACGACTCCGATAACTTTAATACATCACGCGTTACGCTTTTTTTTCAATCATCTTTTCTCTCAATCTCTAAAATTACGTATATTATTTTTTAATTTACTTGAAAATAGAAGCTATAACTACTTACATGACGCGTTACGAAGTACATGCAGATTAAAAAAGAATTTGAAAAAAGTAGAAAATTAACAAACTAAACGAAATTAAAACTAAATTTCGAAATTAAATTAAATTAAACTAAAGTGGAAATAAACTCAAACTAAAAACGATATGCATCTTTTAAGGATAAATCCGCTTTCAGAGAATGTTTCTAAAAAATACATAGATGAAACAATTTCTGTAATTCTTTCGATATACGAAAAATCATCGATATGACGAACAGAGGTATATGATTTCCGACTTGCAGCTTCAAAAAAAAGGAAAAAAAACACAACAGTAATGCAAGTGTGATCATGCATGGCCGGCGTATCCAGACGAGAGGGTTGAGGATTCAACTTCTCGAAATTGTTTATTTATTTTCTCCTTTTTAATTATAAAACATGGTGTCTATAGTAAAATCTGACTAGTTAATTCAAGGATAATTCTAGGATATTCCAGGTAAAATTCTGATTTTTCCAGGATTTATCCCATCAACTAATTTTCATTATTTAATTAATTTTCATCGATTTATACAATACATGCTTTGTATTCAAGTTATTTCTATATAAATGAATTAAAACGCTAACACATTTGGAGCAATATTATTTATTGCTTTATAAGTGATATCAAACGAATATTCCGTCAACACAAATGATTTTTCCATGTTCTATTAGACATTAAATTCAAGTTTTTTATTGGTAACTTATTGCATCTCTTTATGGCAGAACTTGTACCCAAACACAACTTTTCTTTTTATTATTTTTTTCTTTTTTCACGTTGATTTTTTTAGAATAAAAGAGTAATGGATAAATTCCAGGTCAGTCTTGAAATTTCAGGGATTTTCCAGGAATTCTTCAAAATACATAAAATTCCAGTATAATTCCAGGATCCAAGGATATTCGAAGATAGCTGGACATCATGTAAAAGAATACAACTTTACTTTTGACTCGCCGAGTAATTTTTTGTTGTCGCATAAAATATTTTTTCTCCTTATTACAACTACGTAAATGATTTCTGGAACTTTTGTTAGTGACAGTTTCGAGTGTCAGAGTGTCTGATACATAAGGAAAATTTTTGCAAGGTTTTTGAGCCGAAAAAATAAAACATTTTATATATGTGTATATATAGTGTTGACACGTTAATAAGTATTCCATTATTTACATTTCGTTTTTAATATAACTGTATTTTGCTTATATTTTTTAAACAAGAGAAAATTTATAATTTACAAATTAACTTAATATTTGTTTCCATTTAAAATCCATTTAAAAAGAAAACAAAGAAGGAGACATTCAAAGTTCTAAAATATTTAAAAAAACAATTTATTAATGCAAAAAATGGCTATTTATGTGATAACAGAATTGATAAAATTCTCCTTCTCCCAAAAATCCTGGATATACCTATGATGATGATTCATGTACGTGAGATAATCTCTTATCAACGAGATCCTTAAATTCATTACCCGCGAATCGTAGTACGGATGTAAATTCAGAATGCGAAGAGTGCCATGTTCAACAGACACAAATTATGTGCGATGTGTGTTTTTTGCGTGCATGCGTGTGTGTGTATGATTATTTTCGTTTTCTTCTTTTCCGTTCATGCAATGCGGATGCACAACGTGCCGGATAAGATTAAAGATCCATGAGTCATCGGGAATTCGAAACCCATTCAAAACTGGTTGTTTGACCGATGGAATGTAGCTTTTAATAGGGAACAAGCCTGCGGTTATTGATGGCTTATATCGCTTACGAGAGCGAGGATACACTCTCATGAAAGGAGAACGTTGATTATCGTTATCACGTTAATTATCACAAGTGCAATATGCTACACCATGAGAGAATTTTTCAAAATTAATGTAGAGAAAGTCAACGAATAATTTTATATTGATGCTTTTTAAATTATTGTTAGATATCTGACTGAAGATATCGCTACACTTACCTTCGTTTAAAAATTCGCATCTTTCGAGCATCATCAACCAATTCTTGTTATAAATTAGGATAAAATTGCACATGTAGAAAACGGAATACGATCCTCGCGCTTTTATTTTCATCTGATATTAATTATCCAAGCGATGATAATTTGCCGAAATAAGAGAGAGCGCAAAAGAGCAAGGAAAAGTGCATGCGCGCGCGCACGCACACAAACAAAATGTACAAAAATAATTCAAAGTATATTATATATAGGAGATTAGTAAGTACGGCCTTAAGAGATTTTGAGATAAAATATGAATGAGAGAGAGAGAGAGAGAGAGAGATATGAAAAATTGTAAGCCATTTAATATTTATACGAATGTAATACGTTAGATTATATGTACTCGTTTTTTAGTTAATTTACATTTTAATTGAGATGCGTTTTTAAAGCAAGCATGAATCAAACGCGTTCCTTTTTATTATTAATTAAATCGTGCGGATGCTTAGATCGAGTTATATTTGCTTACGCGAAAGAAAGCGCGGCATAGAACAAAGAGAAAACCAACTTGATTGTTTGCGCCATGTTGTTGACACAGCTTCCGACTCGTTTCACTGCAATTATCGTTGTGTCAACTAATGTGCATATGCATACATGCCATACATACATATATGCAACATACCTACTTGCGCTTCTTTCTATTTCTATTCTTTCTCCTTTTTATTTTTTTAAATTTGTCTCAATTTGCGTTGTCGTCTGCACTTTACAAGTTCGCACGTAACATTCAATTCAAATACTTACTACGCGCTTATCTCGCATATGCCGTACGCAAGAGTGCAAATGCAGAATCCAAACATACGGAATCTAATTGGTATTGATATCTCTTACTACGTCAGCATACAACTATCCCAGACTGACAATGAATCGTAGATAAATTTTTTTTGCATTGATATTATATCGGCAGAATAATCCTAATTTGCCCCTGTCTCTTATTTCTTTCTTCCTCCTATCGACCGCCACTGTCATTCCACTTTCAGAGACGGATCAATTCCAATGGTCGATTTTAGCTGCTCTATATAAAAAAAAAGTATCACAATTGATAATAACACCTTGCATAAACGTGACTCAACAATGTTTTACGTTACAGAAAAGGAGATACAGATAGATATAGATTGATAATGAGAGATTTTTTTAAAATTCTATTTGCGATGCGCACAGTATGTAGTGTTCTCTCTCTCTCTCTCTCTCTCTCTCTCTCTCTCCCCCCCCCCTTCCTTTCTTATTTACACTTCTCCCCTCCTCTTTTTCTCATTCTATTAAAAAAAAATCTTTATACAAATCTTATTACTTATGATACATACGTCAGCCAGTAACGTAGCAAATTTAATGCAGTTTATTTTACACGCAATAACTTTTATAGAATTTTTATTCCATTCTCATATATTTTATTTAAAAAATGGGAAGAAGATAACTAATACAGAAATACTTAATAAAAATTAGGGATACACCGGATATCTGGAAAGTATCTTGTATCCGATATTATCCCGCACTTTTTTACTATCCGACCAGATAGTCGGATATCATTAGTTATTATTATCCGGGAATATATCCGGTTGAAATTTCATATCATTAAATTGTTGATTTTTTTCTTATACATATGTTCTAGAATTAAGTATGCATATTCATGATGCTATAATATCTTATACATTGTTGCAAAATTACAATCTTTTTCTCCATAGAATTTTTTTTAGAAGACACTTTTTCGGAATCTCCGGTCGGATATCGGACTCGAAGAAATTGCCTTCTTGAATATTCGATGATACATTCTGTCCAGATATCCGATAATCGGTAATTTTACGATCCGGCGCATTCCTAGTAAAAATATCATTAAGCCTCCACTGAATCGCCTAATATTTGTTGAAGAACTCGCATCCCATCTTGGAATTTATGATATATGTACGATTGTTCTAACGATGATCTAATGGAACACCTTTCCACCAAAATCACTTTTCCATCTTCCTTCTCCGTTAAATTCCAGATATTGCGAAAGTAAATTGTCTGAATAAAGTTATTGGTGAGGCTAGAACTGGTCCATACGCACACATGTACCTATAATATAATCGTTATTTATTTTACCATAAAAACATTACGATTGAAAAACCATCAAGACTAAATAATTCTCGAAATTTAATTTTCTGACAATATTACTTATATGGACTTGTTTACTATAAAACTAAGTTAATTTTTTTTTTAAAGTTGGAGAAAAAATAGATAGAAGATGAATCAAAGTCGTATGTTTATTTAGCTGAATGAATGATGAAATATGGATGAAGCCGGCGGCACAAGATGCTTGTTTCCTTGCCGGATTGCTAGCTAGAATAAATTTTTGCCATTGTATTGGCTACGATACTGACCCTGTCAGTACCGTGCAGCCAATACGATGGCAATATTCTAATCCAGCTAGAAATCCAACAAGAAAACAAGCATCGTGTGCTGCAAGCTTAATATGCTGGAGACCAAAGGTGTAATAACACATTTTATGTTTTAGAGGGAGAGACAGAATACAGATTTTCTATTCAGAAAAGCAGAAATCTTTTCAAAGGTTTTTACAAATAATATTGCTTCCTTACATTCTTTTTTAAAATTCGTGAACACGACTTCATCGAATGGAGTATCAAAGCGCAAATTCTGGCGATACGCGACCTTGAATTATCATCTCCAGGAGTTTTGTCACTCAAGAGATAATCATCCAAGTCATCTATCAAAAGCACAGAAGGTACTGCTGCATAGGTGTGCAGTTTAAAAAGTTGTTCCACGAGAGCTTCGTAATCCAACAAATATCTGCGTAAATAAATATATAAAGACGGCTATGTGCGCTGTGTAAAATATCAATGCGCATGAATGAATAAACGTCAAATGTGTATAAATATTGTTAGATAAGATATTTACTCTTTTTAAATAACAATTAAATTCAAGATAAGCATAAAGAAGTTGCAGTGACAACAATTATTGACAAATAGGACAGTCTGCAGATGTAAAAAAAACATATTGCATAATATATAATATAATATATTAATCTTACATGAATCTCATTAGTTTGAGCGCGGTGACTGATGGATTTCTTCTGTCATGACAAGCCGCCGGTCGTTTTTCTAGAGGTATCGGGGTAATGTAAACGACCCGTTGTCCCTCCTCCGCCCAATACGTCGCAGCCTAGGAGATGTAGGAAAATGTTTTCCTTCCACTTTAGGAAATATATCTTGTAGGAATGTTGAGAGAGACAGATAGATTTTGACGTCATTATTACGTCACTTATACTTTACAGTCATTTATACGTACGTTTGAACATTACCTACGTGCAAATACCTACATACCTCAAACATAAAAGATTTACTCAAGTCTTTCGGGCCGCACAACAGCGTTGTCTTGACACTTTTCGAAAACATAACTGTTAATGTGTAACCCTGCTGATTGTGACTCGTGAGTTGCAACTGCTTTATTCGCGACTGCTCGCGACTCGACAAGATATTCGTTATTATTCGAAATAGTCTAACCTCACTCCTACCGCGCGTACTATTTTTCTTTGCTAGCTGTTTCTACTTCAGTCGTTACAGTCAATGTTATACAATTTCATAATTTAATTATTACACGGTACTTGTAAGTACGTACGTTGGTTGAAGAATGAAAAGTGAAAATTTGACATATGCTCAGCTGCAAGGGAGAGAACTGCAGGCCGCTATTAGTAAGGCGAGTAAATCTCAAATGCATAATGGTAAACATTATAAATGACTTCGTAATTCGTAATTTGTTGCTCGTATATGTAAGTTTTTGCTTCATTACACTTTTTGGGTGTAGAAATGATATAGTCAACTTTACAGATAGATTTTCAAATATAATAACTTTAATAACTATGTTACAATTTAATGAAATTTGGTAACATTGTAATGGAATTTTATAGCGCAATAGCTATTCGTATATAAAACTTGCACTCTATGTATAAAATATGAGAGACATTCAAATTTTAATTATAGTTTAAATTCACACTAACCATGTGTGTTGTGACGTGTTATGCTGGCTATATCATGTGATGGAACTCTGGAACTTCTGTACTTTCTCGAAAAAAAATTGGTAGATGCAAAGTTTGGTAGAACAAAGTTCATCTGAGACAATGCATGCAACGATCAGAATGAACAAACTCATCAATTCAGTCAGCATTTTCTGCCATTACCACTGCAATATATATTCTTGAATGACAGGGATGTGATTCATATTGACTTGGCATTGTCGTCAGCCTTCTCTGAAAGCCTTTCTCCAACGTAATTGTTGTGCATTGTTCTACATTTGGCTCAATCTCAATTCGCTTATGTTTGTTGCTTTTACCGAAGATTACCCAGACATTAGGTTACCCTGGCACAAATCAGGTCTACAAATTTTTTCAAGAGAGTATGGGTGCGTTCCAAATTACGCATGAAGCGCCATGACGTATCATTTGTCATTGTTGTTCACCGAATAGTAAAGGAGGATGCAATGATACATCATGCGCTTCATGTGTAATTTGAAACGAATTCTATACATTCTAAAGTGACGTGCACACCTCATTATCTGGATACACAATTATAATTTGAATTTGAACGCTCCTCATATATCACACATGACATATATACATACACACACACACACGTAAAAATTATATATATATATATACAGGTATATAATATATGAATAGAAATAAATATTAAAAGACACGATCCTGATAGCCACTATCGGCCATACTGGAACTAGGTTTGGCTGGTCCTCCAGGTACTTGATGATGCGGATGTCGCATATGACCAGGTCGTCTTGGTGGTGCCAGATATTCAAACATGCTCTGAGTATGCTGCGCCAGCATCTTGCTGAGATCGCATGGCATTGGATCAGTCCAGAAAAAATCATGATTTAGCGCGGAGTCAGAGTCACATCTTTTGCTAGGATCGAGTATTAAAAGTTTATCCAATAAGTCACAGGCATAAGGATCCTTCAGATATGGCTTCAGTCTGTCTTTGACCTATATGTAAAATCATTAATCAATTAATATCATTTATTGACTGACTCAAAATTTAAAATGCAATATAAAAATGTGTTACGTCTGATTCAACGTACGTTTAATTGACTGAATAGAATACCAATTTACATGAAATTTTTAAATTAAGTATTTGTTTATAGTCATGTCACTAGTCACATTGTTTCCTTAAAATATTATGCAATGGAATTTGCGATTTTCGCACACTCTTTACCTTTCTTTTTTGCCCCTTGGGAAGATCCATTTTGGTAAACAGATCCAAATTTTCAACGCCAGGCCATACCTCGGTCGTTATCGAGCCACACAATTGTGAAATTAATATAAGCTGTTGTTGCTCGGTACTTCCCTGCATTATAGGAGACCTGCAGATTTGAAAGACAAAGTATATTACGCGAACAAAAATCACAAGCAAGAACATAATCATAAAATAATGTAAACCTTGTCCACATTTCTGCCATTATACAGCCAGCGCCCCATAAATCCACTGGTGGTCCATAATTTCTGTCACCAAGTAGGAGCTCTGGTGGTCGGTACCAAAGAGTAACAACTCTATTGGTATAACGATTCGAATGGCCATTTTTTGCACTGAATGCTCGTGCCAAACCAAAGTCAGCTAATTTTAATACGCCATTCTTTGTTATTAAAACATTAGCGGCTTTCATATCTCTATGTAAAATCTGTGAAAAATTAAATGTGATGCTGAATGTAATAATTATTGTAACAATGTCAATACCAACAATTAATGATCATATCACTAAATAACTTTTATTCTATGACCATGACAAACCACACCATCGTCGTTTTAATAAACTAATATAATTTTTTTAAATATTACATTATGCATATAACAAGAATATTAAAATATTTAAAGATAAATGTACATGCACACATGCAGATTGATGAAATATGAAATATGTAAAGATTATTGTCATATTTTGATGGAAAATAACCCTGAATCTTTTTTTACTTTCTATTAACAAATACTGATTAAACTTTTTTAGAACTTGACACCTTTAAAGGGATGTAAAATGGATAAGTTAAATCTTTTCTCACCTTATTACTGTGTATATAGTAAAGACCATTTAGTAACTGTTGCATAACCTTTTTTATTTCACCTAAACTAAATTTCACATTTACATTTGACAACAAACCAGCCAAGTCATGTTCACAGAAATCAAATATCAGATAAAAAGTAGACCGATATCGATTATACTGAGTGGCTGAAAACATTATGAAATTAATTAAATTAGATAATACAACGTCAAAACCAATTGTTTCAATTACTATTTAACGCTGCTTATAAAATAATTTTTCATAATTCAAACATTTTTGGATATTTATAGCTGTAGTTTTTTTTACATATTGAAAGGTATTCTATCTAGTGAAAGAGTAAACTCCTACGTGTACATATTAATATTAAACGTGTCCTGCAAATTTCTATGAGATTAACTACATTCTCATGTTTCAGCAATTGTAATATCTTTATTTCACGTAATGCCGTAATAGGAAACTGTAACAAGATTTTAATATACACGTATAACAAATTATAAATTAAAAAAAAATATTAAATAGAGTAAAAGGATACATTTGCGTTAATATAAAGATTATGTTAACACAAGCATTAATAAAAAATTTATAGCACACCATTTCAAAGCAACATTTTGGCAATCATAGAATTAAATGATATACTATACAATATAAAACAAACTTACTCCTTCTTTCTCATTGTCCATTAGTACCTTCTTCATTGCGACAAATTTCTTATTTGTTTTTTTGTCCTTAGCCTTAAATACCTCTCTATAAAAAAAGAGAATACACATACATACAATACAAATTAGAAAATTTAAAGCAGACGCGATATTTATTCAGAATACTCTCCTCACACCTCAAATCTGAAGAGTACGATTATGCTTACTTGATTGTTAAATGAATAATTGTTATTGAAAAAATATCTAGATCAGACAAATCGTGGAGAAATCTTTCTATAATCGGCCGTAACCTTAAACATCGCATAATCTAAACATAAGATTTTTGTTTACCCGAAAGTTCCTTGGCCAATTTTCGCAACTTTTTCATACTTGGAAGATTCGTCGCAATATGGAAAATCGAATTCCTCGATGTATTTTTCCTTTTCTTTCGTATTCATTGTAATCGCATATATGTATCTACTAACATAACACTTACAATAGGCGAACTCAAGATGGTTCTAGCTAGACTAATCAAGACGGCAAAGCTAGGGTGGAAAGGATTGACATGAGATGCTTTTCATCATGGGGTGCATTTGTTTAAGGTGCCTTTACATAACAGCGTCGAGTGTCAGAGAATACGTAGTAAAGGTACCTTTTCATGCCGACGCTCGACGCTCATTTTTGGCGTCAAAATAAGGCCTTGCGCACAATGGAGAAAATATCGGGAACAGGAATAAATATTAAGATTTCAACCTATCAGAAACCGTGTATCCCGGTATAACTGATATCTGATAGGTTAAAACTTTTATATTTATTTCAGTTCCTAATATTTGTTCTATTGTGCGCAGGCCTTAAGTCCCGTTTTAGAAAATGGCTGCGTTCAGGTCCTTGTACACTGCTGTTCCATAATCGAGTCTCACTTTAGTCGCACTTGGGTGTAGATGAGATGGCGCTTATCCTACAAACTTCTCCACCCTCCTACACTCGAGGGACTCGATTAATGAACAGCAGTGTACAGTGACTTACGTTTACACGCACTGATAAAACCGTTTTAGTAAAAATCGTTTTAGTTAAAACCGGTGTTAAATGTCCTGTAAACGTTCCTTAATATCGATGTTATTAAAACCGTTTTAGTAAATCCAAACCTCTTCTGAAACAGGTTTGGCGTTACTGAACTGTTTTAAGAAAGCCGTGTAAACGGTATTCAATCGGTTTTACGTATCAAAATTCGATATTACCAACTTTAGACGTTAAGGTAATTAGACAAAGGATATTTTGTCTTAGGTTTGTCCGTTCAGGTTTTATAAAGCTACTTTACTTTTGCTGGGGATAAAATACGCCTAATCGTGTAAACAGGCATTAACAACCGGTATTAACTAAAACGGTTTTTACCCCGGATCTACAATAGATTTTTAAGCCTTAAGCCATAAGGAATGAACGAATCGCAATGTATTATTCTCCTCGTATTCGAATGTAGTTGGTCAATTTCTTGCGGCTTAAAGCTTAAAACATCTATTGTAGATCCGGACTTACTAAAACGGTTTTACCAGTGCGTGTAAACGTAGTCATAAGGCCTGCAGGGGATTGATTCTGTATCTTGAAACGAGGTGAAAATTACAAAAGTGAGCAAATTTACTAGGTGTTGACCAATGAAATTATCAGTATTCTAGTAAATTTGTTCACTTTTGTAATTTTCACTTCGTTTCAAGATACAGAATCGATCCCTTGTTCTTTTTGGCTGAACTTTTGCACCAGTTCATCTTTCTTCTTTTTCTCTTCGGGAGGAAAGAAGAGGAAGAAAGATAAACGGGTGCAAAAGTTCAGCCAAAAAGAACAGGTCTATAGATTCAGACTGTTGTTTCTTTACACTTTGGCCGGTATTTTTAGTCAGATCTTGTAGGGGTGATCCCGATTGATCACGGCTCGATTGGGCACCACCAATCACAGCAACCAGGTGCCTAGGAGCTTTGGGGTGGCACCCAATTGGACACGGCTCAATTAGACACGAGCCACTCACAGCGCTTGAGACTACAAAGTTCCGGGGTGGTCCCGATTGATCACGGCCGGAATCAGACTATGCATTGAAGAATGAAATTGAAGATTGAAAAATTGAAATTTGACCAATCAGAACCAAAGGAACCAAAATTTCTTTGTCCTCATTGGTGAAATTTCATTCTTCAATCTTTAATCTTTAATCTCAATCTTCAATGCATAGTCTGATTCCGGTCTAATAAGCTTTCAGTATTTCAGTCATATGACTAATCTCACGTGACTGACCTCACCAATTAATGTATTGTGTACAAATAATAAGTTATAAAGGCACAAACACAGCACAATTAAAACGTGTGAGTGCAATTAAATGTGTATTCAATAATTTTTGTTATGTGTGATTCTAGCTATCCGATATTCTTACTAATCTCAATCTTAATTGCTGTTAGATACAATTTATAGTGTGATTAAGCAATCTTCAATTTTAATCTCGATCTCAATTTCCAATGCATAGTCTGATCACGGCTTTATGGGCCTTCTACAATAAGCCATTAGTCATAAATCAGAAGTCAGAAGCTAAAAATTGACCAATCCTGGTCAATTATTCTTCTTATATTTGTGATTGGTCAATTTTTAGCTTCTAACTTCTGATTTATTACTAAAGGTGCCTTTTCACGCTGACGCTCGACGCTCATTTTCAGCGTCAAAACAGGTCACATGATCAAAATTGACGAATACCAAGCGTCAATTTTGATCACGTGACCTGTTTTGACGCTGAAAATGAGCGTCTAGCGTCAGCGTGAAATCGCACCTTAATGGTTTATTCTAGAATGGACATAATATCTCTTTAATGCGTAAGTTAGGCCCAGTTCCATAATTCACGGTTAACTCTTAACCGAGGTTCAACTTATTCATTATCTCTCAATTCAAGAATTGGAAAGAGATGAAAAACAAATTGAACTTCGGTTAAGAGTTAACCGTAAGTTGTGGAACTGAGCCTTAGTGGACAGACGTTGTTCTGCCCGATTCTTTGGTTTTGAATGAAAACGTGTCGAATGAGCCTAATTTCATTAATATCATAGGTAAAGTAGATATTCTAAATAATTACCCTTTTTTTGCTAGATTCGTTAATTTCTTGCACGATTGTATCAAATAGGCCTAATTTTATCAACCTTGAAGATAGGGGCAGAGGCTTATATTAATAAGATTTACCCAGAACTATATAAATTTATTGATCAAATATTTAAATACTATTCAAATATTGGAATAATAAATATAATCATTAGTATCTCATAATTAAAGATAAGTATTTAAGATAAGTAATTAGAAATAATAATTAAATATAAGTGAAGATAATAATTAAAGATAAAGTTACTTTAAGATAATTTATTAGGAACTTTTTTCAGCATAAGTATCAATAGCGATGCACAATTTCTCCCACAATTCTACAAGACTGTTTTCCGTCAAGTTAAATTTGCAAAATTCTTTTAATAAAGAACAATTTTCTTCAGAAAATTCCATTCCTAAATCAATTCAGTTTCTAAATTAATTAACAGTATTTATCATTTATAGAATAATTTTGATCAAATCCATAATTAACTTTAACGATCAACTTAATCGGAAATTACAAAATTTTTATTATATAATTTGTAGTCCCTAATTTAATCTAATGTACGTGTGCATATGTGTATATATTAAATGGGAAAAAATTAACAATTCTATATATTTGCAAAATATTGGAGATATTATTTGACAATTAAATTTATATTAATTGTCGATAAAGTTAATCAAAGTTTAATCAAAATCGTCACAATAGTTTCTTTTTCATTTAACAATGCTAAGAAATAAACAATTTTTTACCTATGTCTGTAGACTTTACTGTAAAGAAATGTTCAATCTGCCACGTCAGCTCCAAAAATTTCATTGACCATTGAAATATCACATAGCTTTTCTCTATATCTACAGATGAATGTACATGTACTAATATACCTCCATTTTCCTGAGTACATTGTTCAAAGTTTACATATTTCTGTATTTCTAAACTATGTAGAATTTTAGATCTAAAGATATTCTTTGTATTGTAATCAGAAAGTGCTAAAAAGAAATACAGCTTTTACTGATGAATAATTTATATGATCATTGTAATAATCTTATTGTGATTACTTACCGGACATAAGAAGAGAAAAGTTTTTCATATTTGTAATTTTCTGAAACCAAGGGGATATTTCCAATATATAACTATCATGGATATTTTTGTTGAAATAACATATTATGTTCTTGATATTGAAATCATCACTTAAATTCTAAAAAAAAGAAATTGAGATAAATAAAAAAAAATAGTTGCTCATAGAATTATGTATTTTGTAGGTTGCGTTTGGAAATATCACCTGGATACTCCTATGTATCATCTTATCTTTGTTTAACAATGGATGAACAACAAGGATAAAACGATATACAGATGATACTTTCAAACGCAGTCCTAATCCTTCTTATGTATACCTTCAAAATCACTATTAATTCAATATCAAAGGAAATGGTTTTTGTTATTACTTTAGCTACATATATATAAATATTATCACGTAACAACTTTCTATCGACATTTTCGAATGTTATTCCTGTCACTTGAGCTGTAACTTCACATAAGTTAGCTTTGTACTTGGTAGATAAGGATTCTGACAGTTTGTAATCATCATCAGGAAGCAGCGTGCTACAATCATCCATAAGATCGTAGTTTATCCATAGAACAAATTAAAAAATTTACGCATTTATATTTATAACTTAATTACGTATTGAAATTGATTGATTTTTTGCGTCCATTTTCTTCTTGATCTCTCTCCTTCAACCTGTCTTCTAAGTAAATAATCTTTTTCAGGAGGTGTTCTTTCAGAGCACGCAATTGTATTATTTCTTCGTCATCCATTTTAAATAAATGTTAAGATGCGTTTAGGAAAATGTTAAGAAGAGCTCCCTCAACTCGAATTTTGACAAAAATACACTTAATCGATGCGTTTTTGCGTAAAAAACAAAAATTTACAAGAAAAAAGTGTCACTCTGTCCCGCAAATCGAGATATTAAACATTAAAATTAATGACTATTGAGGTTAGAAAATCTGTCGCAGCCATGAAATACTGCGATGCAAGAATGCGCTGAGGTCACAAATTCACTACTTTAAAACAAGTTCTCTGCTCTAAAATACAAATTCACGACTTTAAAACAAATTTTCTGCTGTAAAACACAAATTCACTACTTTAAAACAGATTCTCTGCTGCAAAACACAAATTCACTACTTTAAAAACAAATTTACTGTTTTTAAAACAAAAAATAGTATAAGAAAATAATTTATGTTTTTAACGTAGCTAATTTGTCTTTTTAAAGCAATGACAAAATTTGTCAATAAAATAGTGAATTTGTTTAAAAAGTCATGAATTTGTATTTCACAGCAGAGAATTTAGGTCTGTTCTTTTTAGTTACAATTTTTGCATGATTCATCTTTCTTCCTTTTCACTACACGTTGGAGAGAAAAAGAGAAAAGACAAATCATGCAAGAAGTTCAGTAGCGGGATTCTCTAAACGTCTTATCGATGATTGTCGTTATCGTTAACTAGCGATAATCAATGGCAGGACAATTGTTATGGGATTCTTTAAACGTTTTATCGACAATTATCGCTATTGTTAACTAACGATAGCCAATGAGTACCACTCTTTCTTCCAAGATTGTCCTGCCATTGGCTGTCGCTAGTTAAAGATA